GTCCCAATATGGACTCGTCGAGTAGGTCACTTAACACGCGATCCCACCCCGCTGCTACTCGACGAGTAGGTCCACCAACACGTCGAGTAGAGCTTCACCCAATAAATCTTATTTAAACAATACCTGAGAATCGGGGCGTTACAGTGTATTGTTGCGGGTATGGGTATTTTGGGGAAACTCACTAAGCTCTCGGGCTTAGAGTTTCAGTTTATTGTTTCAGGTACATCAGGGGATCGCGACAAGGCGAAGGCGTGATCGTACAGCTCCTCATGTTTTGTCTATGTTTCTGGGAAAACTCTGATATTATACATTTTGAAAACAAAGTTGTAATGATTTTTAATGGTTTGAAATGTTTTTAAAAAGTTTAAATTGGTTTGAATTTTTGGGTGTTACAAAAACTCACATAGGGAAACAACGACACATACGTTGAATCAAATTTGTGGGACACTACTTCATTGTACTCATAGAGTACTGGTTAAAGTCCTGTGTTATAACCTTAATCTCTTGTAGGGAGAGCGTGATACTTGTGTATAGATCTATATTGGGACTCACAATCCTGCACCCTAAGTTGCTTACAATAGCTAAACCGGTAGGTCTGGGATGACAAATGTCAAAACATCCCGACGCTCGAAGAACGTCGTAACAGGCATTATTTTGTCAATTGCACGGTTATAATAACTCACATAGGGAAACAACGACACATATAGTTTACGAGGATTCATACATTCTTAAGGGATTTATTTATTTAAAACTGTACTCACTCTCATAAGTATGGAAAATACTTGTACATTTCGGTCTTGGGTTTCAAGACTACAACTCAGTTTATAAGGAAAATTATTGGATTTTTCTTGAACATACATTACATTTATAAAGAAATAAATTTTCTTTATGTACTACTACTACTACTACTACAGTATATTATTTTCACGAACAAACACTCGCTCTTATTGGTCTTAGGGTAGTTAAGACTACATTTCGTCTAGAATGGTTAGATTCCATCCATAATTGCTACGTGTATACGGCAGGGTTATATAAAATTTAGACACGATCTACTTGGAAATGGCTGGGTATGCATTAGATAATGTTCCTCGTTTGGTTGTGGGTTTAGGGCAGACCCATTATATTCGACGGTTTATTCGATCTTGATTTTTATATAACTTATATACACTGGGGGATTATAGAAGGAAGTTATAGGTCTTTCTAGAAGTACACTATTTTAAGACACAAAAATTTACATATCTGGAGTAACTTTTACCCCGAGAGCATGCATACATAAGGGTTGTATCGTTATAAAACTACTTTGCACCGTTTTCAAGTACAAAACAACTTTCATTTCGGAAATCATGCATCCAAATGGTTTTTATACAAATTTAAAAATCTATGTAATATTACCACTCAAGCATACGATAACATTTATACATTTTGGTCCGAAGGGACTATGACTACATTCCATTTTACTAAGAAAATATAGGATTTTCTGGAGGAACATACGAACATTTTCAAGGAAAAATAACTTATTTTTCTAAAACAAAATACTTATGAACTCACCAACTTAAATGTTGATACACTTTCAAAATTAATTGTATTCTCAGGAAACCAGTAGGCAGATACATGCGCAAGTTTTCAAGAAGACAGAGCATAATAGCTTATAGTCTTAGCATAATAGCTTCTAGTCTTAGTTTTTACTATATACATTTGGAAGTCATTCAAAGCTATGTTTCAAATATAATGTAAACACTATATTATCAATACAATGGTTGTTGCTTTGATTACTACTATTTAATTGTGATGATATTGTTCATGACGTCCTCCGCCCTCGAACGTTTCCGCCGTCTCGGTTTGGGGGTGTGACATACTACTCAAGTTTGTGTATCGTTTTCATATTTTTAAGTCACTCAATTGTATAGATTTGATGATGCAAAATATATACATTATAGTTATAGTTAGATAGTTAATTTGAAGATATGCTGATGAAAGTTCATATGCCGAAGACTGAATAACATCCCTAGATGACTGAAAGACCCTGAAGACTCTATCAACACCAAAGGTATGAAGACACCATCTACTGAAGACTGATCAGTGTGTCCAGACACTTGTATACTTATCTACAAAAATGCAATAATACATGACTTCTATCAATATTATCTTTCAAATTTAATTTACACTAAGGATAGAAGCAGAATTAAAATTTGATAATAACGGTATAAGACCTTAGTTTTATTTTACGAATAACGTAGTAATTAAATCGAGACAAATTTAGAACACGATCATTTGAATATAACTTATTAAAACCATAAACAATAACTAGTATTTAATGCCAATTGACACTTCTGTGTTTTGAAGGTAAATTATTTTTAGGGTGTGCACTATTTAGTTTACTTAGGACGAACTCATAAAATTTTTAAACACGCCTCAAAACAATATATATATATATATATATATATTATATATATATTATATATATATATATATATATCTATATATATATCTATATATATGAGGTGGGTTCAATTGAGAAAATAAAAAGGTTGAGAATGGGGGATCATTCTTAGTCACTCATTTAATTAGCCTCTAAACATAAAGGACACAGTGACAAACTTGTAAATATGATATAATAGCCTTCAATCACAAATACGTAAGTGTAGAGAATTAGATAACAGTTGAAATTCATTCGTTTTTTCTTTCAATCCAACCTTCAATTCTGCTTGAATACGAATATATCTTCAACATCTACGGTTAATTATACTCCCAGCATCATTAGAACAACATCATCGATAATCAACAAAAAATTCAATTCGTATCATTCATTCAACATCGTTCATCAAATAAAACATCGAAATTAAGGTTAGAAAAAGATCAAATCATTTTTGTTTGAAAAATTTTCATATATTTCTCTACCAATCTACTATTTTGTAAGATTTAAATAGTCAAAGTATCATATTTATCACATTTTTAAAAAAGTTAACTTGTATGCACTCCAACTGTTTGATGAAATGCATAAACTAAATTACCACGTTATATTCACATATGAATATTTTTCACCTGAATCAATATGTGATTATTAAAACACAAAAAAATATGCAAGTCTGTATGTTATTTATATGTGAATAACATATAAAAATTATATATATTTCTGAAAACACCTTGTAATATTCATATATGAATATATTGTGCAATATTCACATATGAATATACCAACTATTATTCATAAGTGAATATACGATATAATATTCACAAGTGAATATAGTATGTACTATTCTCATTGTATATACCATGTAATACTATATAATATTCACATATGAAAATATCATCTAATATTCATAAGTGAATATACCATCTAACATTCACAAGTGAATATACTATGTAATATCACAAGTGAATGCATCGTCTAATATTTAAATATGAATATACTATGTTTAGTATATGCTATATTCATATATGAATGATACTTAAATTGTAAAAAAAATTAATCATAGTTTTTATTCATAAGTGAATAACGAATGTACTGTAGTAAAAACCTGATTCATTTTTATTCACTTATGAATAACGAGAGCTGAAAATATAAAAAAAATAAATTTTTTATTTTATCTTAAATCTATATCAACATGGATGTCTATTTGTAGAGAATAAAAAATCATGAATTTTGGTATATTTAAAATCATTTTTCGATAAAAATAGTTTCTTAAAAATAAAAAATAAAAACAAAAAAACTATGTTTTTGTATATATTAAGGTAATGCTTAGCATAGTTTAAGGAAACATGTTTTGTTGGAAAACACATATGCATTCCTTTTCCATTTCTGCCGGTACGTTGGAGGTTTTTGCGGCAAAAATAAATGATTGACTGAGAATGATTCCCCCATTCTCAACCTTTTTTTTCTCAATTGAACCCTCCTTTTATATATATATATATATATATATATATATATATATATATATATATATATATATATTATTTTCAAAATAAACTATTGAGTACAACAATAGTTGTTTATCATTGTCGATTAACAAAAAATAGTTTATAAATTTTAGCTTCAAATATCAAATTTTTAATAACAAATGGATCTCTTTTGTTTCAGCCACAATCTGAAATCAATCGAATTTCAATAACCACAATTACAATAAGGAACACCTAAATTTGAGGTATTCTTAATTTATAGTAATTTACCGTTAACTTCATACCTATAATTTAATATATATATATATATATATAATATATATATATATATATATATATATATATATATATATATATATTTACAAACATGGACAAGTATCTTTAAAAATAATAATATATAACAATAATCGTAACAAATATAAAAAGTAAATAAATAGATAACTTAATTTTTAGTTATCTATTTATTTATGTAATTGACCTGACTAAGTTATTCGGAATTGATTAGTCAAATTAAAAAAATTAAGCCATAAATTGGATTGGTTTAGGTGATGATATTTTGGCTAAAGAGTAAGGGGGTTTAAGAAATGTTGTCTACATACCGCCCCAATACTATCTTCGCCCATGAATATAGTAAACTGATGTTTATGAGTGCTTTTTAAAATGACTTATTGATTTATTGGTTTTTCAAAAAACTAATAAGTTAAAAAAATGTTTGACAAACACTAAATATTTAGTTATAAAAAATGGTTTTTCCAATAAGAATTTTAGAAAGAATCTCAAAAAAGCTCTAAAAATAGGTCGATGCTTATATGTAAAAACTAAAAGAAGTAAAAAGTAAAACTAAAGAACCCCACGTTAAGCAATTTCTTTCCCGCGACAGCAAATATTTGAAATATTCCAATCAAATACAAACTAACTGCATCTACACCGTCAAATACGTATCCATGTAGATCCACGGTGTAGAATGATTATCCGCGTCAATAAACATCGACCAATCAAAACGCATATCTCGCTTGTATATAAACAACCCAAAACAAGTTTTATCAACACAACCGGGCTCATTTCCTTTTCGTGCATACACAGCATTCCCATTGTCTCTAAAAATGGCACCAAAGGCGGCAGAAAAGAAACCGGCGGAGAAGAAGCCAGTTGCTGAAAAAGCTCCGGCAGAGAAGAAACCAAAAGCGGGGAAGAAGCTACCAAAGGATGCGTCAACGACCGATAAGAAAAAGAAGAAGAACAAAAAGTCTGTGGAGACATACAAGATCTATATATTCAAGGTTCTGAAGCAGGTTCATCCTGATATCGGAGTTTCAGGGAAGGCCATGGGTATCATGAACTCATTCATCAACGATATATTTGAGAAGCTGGCCCAGGAATCTTCGAAACTCGCAAGGTATAACAAGAAGCCTACCATCACTTCTAGGGAAATTCAGACCGCCGTGAGACTTGTACTTCCCGGTGAATTGGCAAAACATGCCGTGTCTGAAGGTACCAAGGCTGTCACCAAATTTACCAGCACTTAAAATGTCTTGAAGGTGTTAATCGACAATTTTCGATGTAAAAGTTTCAAATTTGAAGTGCCTGTAGAATCTTACAGTAATCCACCAGTTTTAAATGATATGAAAGTAGTATTTGTTCAGCTTTAATGTCAATTTCTATAACTGAATGCGACTGCATATTTCTTCCTTTAATTTCATTATGTCCATATCTTAATTACTGAAATGCGAAGGTATATAATTCAATCGAATAGGAACGGATGAACTAATTCTTCCCTTTTCCCAAATTCGTCATAGATTTGAAGTTTTCGTACATCATTCTGGTGTATTTTAATTCCCTTTTCCCTAAAATAACAGTACATTTGTAATGACGATATAACTGTGAATTTGGATTATGAACCCTTATTTTATCTTTATGTAATTGAAAATAATTCGAATTGCTAGGGTTTGTTGAAGGTTAGAAAAAAGTTGTTGGACCTAACTTGGCGAAAATTGAAGTCGAAGGAACTATGGTTTTCCTCAAGTCATTTTCAATATAGAACTTTAAGTATTGGTATTTATATTGATCATGGCTTGCCGAAGTTTTAAAGCTTTAGATTAACGAATAATAATTGTAATACCCATTATGTATCATGACATATTGATGTTGATTAACATATGGATGATGAAGTCAAGTTTATTTTTTAAGTGAAAACCATAATTTTTTTTTTTTGTGGCAAATGTTATAAAAATAACATTTAAGGCAGAAAAGAAACAAGATCACGATGACCATGACAACTCAAGGTATATAAAATCACAAATCGACTAACATTAGTGTCATGGTGTTGTATTTAATTAGAGATAAATGATTGAGGTGATGATGGTCAGTGAGATTTTTGGGACTTATGATGCATGATTTCTAGTTGAATTGACAATTTTTTTAGGTTTCATTATTTAAAAAATGGTAAACCTACAATCTGAACGGCAAATATAAACCTATACAAAACCTATTTGAGTTGTTTATCATGAAACACTTACAATATTTTGGGCTTGCTACGGTTTTAACCTTGGTCCTCTGTTAACTTTTTCAAATTTATAAAACCAACTCTTATTGTGACACATATGAAAATACAATCGAAATCGAGTATCCATTCACTAGTAGAAACCACTTTGCCTAAGTAAATTGTTAGAAGTTCTCCAACACAACCAACCTTTGCACATCAACTTCACCCGAAGTGCCACCTTGTTTACCATTTGTTGTTGCTTTATTCTTTTCTTTATTCTTCAATATGAAGCATTCATCAATCGTGTGTCCCTTGTTGTGACAGTAATTGTAAACTTTCGTTTGCCTTTAGACTTGGGTCTCGCCATGTTGGAAGATTGAGGGCTTTTGCCTCTCTTTGTCGTTCTTCCTCTAGCATTTAAACCTTCGACTTTCACATCACTTGAACCACCGTATAATATGTGCTTCATCTTCTCTTTTGAATCCAAAGATGTCAAAACTTCATCTAACAGGAGAGTGTCACGACTATAAATGATATTATCATGAAAATGACCATAAGTTTCGGGCAACGACGACAGTAAGAATAAAGCTACTTCTGTATCTTCATATTCAACATCCATATTTTCCAAATTACCGACTAACTCTTTGAATGTGGATATATGATCGGCTAAAGAACTCCTTTTGCTCATCTTGAGATTAAACAATCTTTGTTTTAGGTGAAACTTGTTTGGTAAGCTTTTAGTCATCGATAGTTGCTCCAACTTTAGCCATAAAGAAGTCGTAGAAGTTTCCTTCAGAACATCGTAAACGACATCGTTTGAAAAATGCAAACAAATTTGGGAGAAAGCTTTTAGATCTTTCATCTGTTTTTCTTCTTCCGACCATGCAACGAGTATCTTACCAAAACCCAAAAGTGTCTTGCGTAAATCCATTTGTATGAGTATATCTCTCATCTTTACTTGCCATAACACAAACCTAGTGTTTCAATCCAACAAAGGAATACCGTACTTCATCGTAGACATGATCAACCAATTGATAAAATAATTCCAATAAACTAATACTGAAACTCGGAAGCTCTTATACCAATTGTAGTAAACGTGAATAGAAATACACACCAAGAATCCGAATAACTATAATAATATTAGTTCGAGTGGAATAAAATTAAGATATCAAACGTAAACAACCACCAACGAGAATAACAATGTAGTAAATAAAAGAGGAACATAGATTTACGTGGAAAACCCAAAACGGGAAAAATCACGGGCGGAGGAATCCGAGAATCAATCCACTATAACTTGAAGGGTTTATAGGGTGTGAGAAAAAAACGATATTACAATGAGTTGTAATAGTGATTAAGAGATTAGGTTTAAAACCCTTTTGGTAGTCGTCGACTTGCTTGATTGCAAAGAAAAAAAAGCAATTGTAGTTTAATAGTTGTCGTAGGTCAATTACAAATCACGTATGATTTCTGATATATATACAAAAGCAAAGTTACACCAATGACCCTTAAACTATTGAACACTTGTCATATTCAGAAGGCATGTTTCAACACAAAGTCTTTAGAACCACCCCAAGGACTATTCCACGAGAGCAGGCTCTGACAGTCAAGTTAGATCAGTGTATGAAGTGAGATGGTTTCTCGTAGCCAGAGAGAACCATCTTGGTGAGGAGGGGGAGTGTGTGTAATGGGGGTCATGTTTGAAGCCGGAAGAAGTCCCTCTCATGGATGAGGATCTGTTCTATTTATAGGGCTAGGTCAAAAGGGAATTTAGGTCATGCCTTGGGCTAACTCAATTCAAGCCTAACCAGCCATGGTTGGGCTGAGCTGCCAAAAGATGTTGCAAGGCGGTGTTCTCTTACTATGTTGTCGAGTATTGTTGTTAAGTAACAACTAGGCTATACTACAAAGTTGTTGGCAGGCTGGAGTGTTGGTGGATAGGTCTAACAAAATTGACCTATCCTTGATATATATATATATATATATATATATATATATATATAATTTTGTCGTTCCACAACTAGTTAAATGGTCTGCCCGAGTCAAATGAAGCTTCCATTTCCCATTGGTTGATGTGGTTCGTGTTGTACACCACAAATCACACAACCACGACCAATCAGAAACCAACTAGGATGGTGTTCACGGTTCGTCGTTATTTCCACGTACATCACGAAAGGTTTCGTGATGTGTATTCAACAAGGCTTTAGAGTTTCCGATTCATTCTATATTAAGTGGCTTAACATAATTATCAATTGTGATGTTTTGTTTACAAATTTCTTAATCCGAGAATATATCAAAACTACTAGTAAGGCTATATGGAGTTTTTATAATTGAGTACTAGGTCTGTGTCAATGCACCTTTGTAAGATTTTGGTGAGATTTAGTACACATTAATCAAAAGGTTTCCATAGATTGTGAAGTCGTCCACGAAAACTTCTATGATGTTTTCAACATACTTGGAAAAGATGCTCACCATACATATTTACAATGTCGTGAGTGTATTGCATAACCCATAGGGCATGTGTCTATACGCGAAAGTGCCAAAAGGACAAGTGGATGTGTTTTTCTCTTGGTTTTTTTGGGCAACCAGAATTTGATGAAAACCCGAGAAACCATCGAGTCAACAATAATGGGACTTCCCGATCAATCTTTCTAGCATTTGATTGATTAATGGAAAGGGAAATGGCCTCTCCTAGTTGAAGCATTCAACTTTCCATGATCAATACAGACTCTCCACCTGTTTTTCATGCGGGTGGGCACTAAATCTCCCTCATAATTCTTTACCACCGTGACTCCAGCCTTTTTCGGGACATTCCGAATAGGTGATAGTTTCATTTTATTACTTCTATTCTTAGTTTATTTTTAGTTAAAAACCATCTCATTTTAGTTAATCTTCATGCATATTTTCTCTTTTTGTTATTTTTCTCCTTTATCGGGTGCTTTCCAGTATTTTGAGCTTAATTATAGGATCTACCGAAGACTATTTGTCATTGGAGGTATGGAATAAGTGCAAGACTATTGGAGGCTTTAGATTTGCTTGTGGATTTGAGGTGGTGCGATTGGGCTTTGTGTCAATATAAACAAGAAAACGATTTGGACTTAATTTTTGGACGAGAATGATGACGAGACGTCGAGGACTCGAGCTAAGGAAGATTAAAGGAGCATTGGATCATCTTTGACAGCTTTGGAAAAGCATAATTGGGCTCCCAAGAAATTGTGCAAATGGGCTGAGATATTAATGAAAAGATTGTGCTGGTGTATTATTTAAATGGGCCAATGCATCCATTCAGCGAGACCCACGCGGTCCGCATGGAACCACAAACGGTCTGCGTGGATCGTAATGTGAAGGATCCGGGTTTTTGGCATGAGTATCTACTTTGGGAAGGTTGGTGGATTATTTTTGGCCAACTTTTAGATCCGGAAATAAGCCCCTTTTTACTGGAGATTTTGAATGGAGTTCGACAACAACACTCTCAAGAACAACTCTTTTTGCTCTCAAAAGAGTCTTGGAAGAAATTGAAGATTTAGAAGATTGGTGTAATTTCATTTCATCTTGCAACTTGAATCATGTTTGGTACCTCTAAACTACTTTGCATTTCTTTTATTTTAGCCATGCTTGACTAGACTTATATTTGGTTGATCGGGGTTTAGCCCATGGATGATTGGTTGTTTTGAAGACTTATTCTATCTTGTGTTTGAAGTTTATGGAAATGTTTTCTAGTCAAACATCTTCTTGTGTTTATTTGTCCTTGATCATGAGCTTTGATGAATGAATGCTTATTTTTGTTGACTAATTTATTGGTTAAGTAATGGGCCCTCAAATTAGCAAGCAACAAATGGTTTCTATGTTTGTTTTCGTTTCATTTAAACCATGGAAATGTTTCCTCCATAATGATAATGTAAGCATTTGATTATCTTTTGGACTTGGTAACGCTTAGAACTTAAAGCTAATTGATTTTCACAAGATTATATGTTTCATTGATTTTGTGACTTTAATTAAGGGAATATGTTAAGAGCTCCTCTAACCATTTTAATAACAATGAAGAGTTGAGGTAATTTGTGCTTATGAATTGCTATAGCCAAGTTAAATTAATTCATAAGTGTTGTTCCACTTAGTCTAATGATAAGTCAACTATGTCGTCCATGTGGTGTATCCCAAAATCAACCAACTTTACTTCATTGAACTTAACTAAATCATTTACTTATTTACTTGTCATATTTACATTCTAGCTTAGTTTTAATTATCTCAAGCAATCAAAAAGATTACCCCCCCCCCTCCCTCATTTTACTTTTACTCTTATTTTATAAGTCCTTGAACACGTGATTTACATAGAGATTTAAATTGAACCAATCTCCGTGGATACGATCTCTTTTACGCTATACACTATTTTAGTGTGTAATATTTAAGGTGTTTATTTTGTTGGCCTCGATAACCACCAACGGGACTAACCCATTTACTATCAGAGACGGGATAGATTATAC